TTCAGCATCACCGCCATACAACAGCTTCCATCCCCAAGCACCAGCCTTCTCGCTCTCGCGAAGCGCGCCTGTATATAATCCAGAAATCGCGCTATTCCAGCTGTCCTGCATCAGACCGCGGAACTCATGCTTGACAACGCGTGCAGAAGCAGGTGCAGTAAGCATTGCCTTTGGAGGTGGTTGCTCAGTGAAGCGACGTGAAATCTCAGCGAGGCTGGTGGACGTCTTAGTATCATGAGATGTGATGGGATTGCGTAGCGATTACATACTCCGCACGATGCTGAGCCGTTCTTGAACTTATCAAATTCGAAAATCCATAATATATCTAGCGCAAATAAGCCATGTGTATTATAGGTCGGTCTAGTTATGGACACGCACTCCACTAGCTACCAATGCACCGGAGAAGGTGCCGGCCAGAAATGACATCGAATGATGACTGTGGTGGTGGTCACAGACAAGGCGCACGAGTTGCCGCCAACGCGTCCGAGTCGCGGGTCGCGGCTTCTTGCTCCGAACCTCGACGACCACCGACGTAGAGTCCCGATCTCTCCCTTTACTCTCCGTTACTTTCGTCAAAACATATTGCCAGCAAAATAACACAATGGTCTCCGCCGATAACCTGCACTACGATGTCTTGACGCTCATCTTCGGCTATCTACCCCTGCCAGACTTAGCTTCGGTCTCAGCCGTCTCCCGTTCCTTCCAAGCAAGCGCCGAGCCCTGGCTCTACCGCACCTTGCCCTTCACGCACGCACAAGCGAAGCGTTATGCCCTTACAGGGGCGTCGGACAGTACTTCGCCGTTTACGGTCATGCTTTCCCAGCCCCATCGCGCGTCGTACGTCCGTACGATCGACCTGCGCGTGATCCCCAACGAGCGGCGCCGGATCGGCATCTTCGACGCGCGCTGGATGGCCGACACTCGTCAAGCCATCGACAAGGCTTCCAATCTTACTTCATTCACGTGCACCATCGCCCGCGCAGTGCCAGCGTTCCTGAGCCCGCTATGGGACAAGAGCAGGTTGACATATCTGCGCATCAACGCGGCCCTCTCGAATGAGGCGCCTATGGGATTGCTCAGGATCACCACTCTCCGCGTCCTCGTGCTGGAAGAGCCCACGTACTTTGTGCTGAACGCTTTGCCGCGCTGGGCGGAGAAGCTCAAGAGCACCTTGTTGCATCTGACAATCACCGTAAGTGCATTGCCTATCTTAGTGTCATGACCTCCGTTCTAATGAGACGAACTTGACAGGGAAGCAAAGAGCTCAATACCGAGGTGCTGTCCCAATCCGTCAAACACCTCAACCATCTCCTCGGCCTCCACCTATCCGGCTGTCCTCTCGTCGATCACGCGGATGTCTTCGCCCTCGCGCCCCAGCTCCCGCATCTACAGTCTCTCTCCACGACGCTCTCTGCTCAACCTCCACGTACACCGCCGGTTGAGACCTTCTCGTCGCTTCAGCACCTAGCGCTCGAAATCCATGCGCGCGCCTTGACGACGAACTACGCTCAGTTACCTAACTACGCTGTGCACAACCCCCACCCGCTGGCAAGCGTGTTGCCGCTCATCAGTGGTAGTCGTCTCAGGAGTCTCGCACTCAAAAGCAGCACATCGGACTCGTTGGACACGCCTACACTTCACACGCTCCTGGCTTCGCATGGCGAGTCGCTGCGTGTGCTCCGCCTCCATGGCCTGTCACTATCTACAGCGCACTTCTATGAAGTCGCCGCTCGTGCGCCAAATCTGCACAAGCTCTACTGTGCTGTGAAGGAGAAAGAACTTCATCAGCTGGGAGGGGCGCTGAGCGGGTGCGAGAATTTGAGGGTGCTTGTGGACGTCGGCGCTGGAGAGACTACGTCGGGAGGTGCTAGCGGTGGAATGCATGGGCCAATAGCAGTGTCCGGTCCGGGACATCACGGCGGACGTAGGCCTGGTCTCACGACGGAGCCCGTCAAGACGCTCATGCACGATGTACCTAGTCTCAAGAAGGTTGTATGCGAGAACCGTGTCTGGACGGTACGTCTTTTTTCCGCGCCATCTATCTTGGCATTGACGAATGGTATACAGGCAGCAGAGAGCTCGAAAGGACAGAAGAAGGTCA